TCTAGGCCCGAAACGTCAGCCTTCCTGCTCCTCTGATGCTGCTTGGCCTGCTGTGTTCATCCAGCTCTACACCTTGTTAACTCAGGTAATAAATACATGTTTTTTTCAATCGGATAGCCAGTCGTTGTCAGGAAAACATTAGGGAAAGTGGAATGTGTGCATTAACACAGGGTGAGTTGTTTGTTTTTGTGTGACTAATCCATCTGTTCACTGCCATGGACCCAGCATGAAAACATATTCATCAACTGCAAGGAAGTAAAGAGCTACACTTACTCTGGAGTTTCAGACAGAAAAGGACGTTTCCGAGGGTTCTGCAGCTAATTGTGTTTGGATTGGTTGAGGGGGCTTCCATGCTGTTAATACTCAGAGTGAAAGTTTGCACATACATTGGCCATCTGGACGTTGAGCGCAGCTATATAGAGAGGTGCAGTGTGTGTTGTGTCTTCCCTCTCATAGTAGGACGTTTTGGACATTACACATCTGCTTCCTTTGGGAAATATGTGCAATATGGTTTGGAGGTCCATGTGGGATGAATAGCGTAACTGAATGAAGTTTGGTAAAGAAAAGAAGAGATTCTAATCATGTGGGATCACTATCCCTTTGTCTAAAGGATTAAGAAGACAACTGGTGTTTGAAAATTCGCTAAATGCAGCAGGATGTCTCTACTTGACGCTGAGTGTACTTATCATTTCCCCACCAATGTCTCATCAACAGGGCTCCCAAACTCTACCACTGCCTCTGGTACGTTTGCTGAAATATATGTACAGTGGATTCAGGCTTTGCTGCACAACCGAGCCAGGCTGATCATCATCCCTGGATCTATCTGCTTCTTCGCATCTTTGGTAGCCAGTCCGCTCATTCTAGTGGCCATTTTTACCAGCAGCAGCCTCTGCCAAGAACCCAGGTACCTGCTGCTCAGCAACACCTTGATCAGCGACTTGATTTACTTGGTGATAAACTTCTGCATCCAGCTTTGTAACATTTCCCAGCTCAGCATTCCTAAGTTGGTGTGTGAATTGCTGCTTTTTACTTTAACGACCACGAGCTGCTGTGGCTTACTGACAACCACAAGCATGGTAATAGACACCTACTTAGCTATTAACTGGCCTCTGCATTATATCACACTCTTTCCCCCCACCAGGGCTGTCAGAGTTGTCATATTTATATGGATTGTGGTTGCATTTCCGCAGTTCATCATCACCGCAGTGCTGCTAACAACCCAACAGTCTCCATTCTGCAAGCTGACATTCTGCGAGATAGACTACGTTTTCTTGACAGCCCCGCATGGTGCAATCCTCACCCAACTCTTTTATGGCTTGCTCATAGCCCTGTTGTTATCATGCGTGTGCTTGCTGCTGAGCTGCTACTTCATGTTGTACTGGAAGACACGGAATTCCGGCATCTGGAGAGGCTTCTCCTCCAGGGCAAGGCTCACTTTTCTCATGCACTCCGTGGTCTTTGCCTTTTACTTCTGTTCGATGTTACTGATGGTCGTGGAAAGGATTTTTTATAATTGCGGCATGGTCAAATTCGAGATGGTCATTTTCATAGCCCGCACCATGTCTAATATAATAATGATGGCACCAAAAGCCCTGGCTCCTTACTTGTATGGAATGAGGTACAGAGAATTAGCAAAGGTTATCAAATCTTTCTTCCTTTTAAATTATGTCAATCAGGTGGGACCCATACATTAAACCCATGAGAACACAAAATCTGTCAAGCCCCCTCAGGTCTGTCACTGCACTGAAACTCAACTATGATTGTAATGAATATTGTACGGTTATACATGTGTCTCATTGTCTGTTTTAAATGCACTAAATATAGCTGATAATAAGTGATTATAAAACATACCGGCAATATCAAAAACATAAACTGACTCATATACGAGTGAATGTCTCTTGGTTTCGCTCATGGTAAGTTAGATTAAAAGGGAAAAAAAAGCATTTGCATTTATCTAGTGTCCTTCATGACCTCAAGATGTCCCATATTGCTTTATAACCAACTAAAAAGTCCTGAAATGAAGTTACTGTTGTAGTGTCAGTAACTGATAACCAATTTGCCCACTGTAAGCTGTCACAACCAGCAATTAAATAAATGATCAGATAATCTGCTTTCGGTAAAGATAAAGCCACCATTGTCCTAAGGAGGCATTGGCTGATCTCTTATGAGAGAGAGAGATGATTGTTAGTGGTTTGGCCTGAGGGTCACCATGCCTCAGGCAGTGAGTGAGGTTGAGAAGGTAGGACCTCCATGGTATCCTCAATCAATATACAAACTGAACCCACATAGTTGGTGTCACTCTGTAATCATGGACCATCCATCCAGCCAACTGAGCTAACCAACCTCCTATACTGTTTTAGGTATTGGTTGTGAGATAAATGTTGACAGGACATCAACAGCACACCCCTGCTCTTTGAATACTCCCATTGGGGGACAGGGTGGTGACAGATGTAATTTACCAACCACTGTGAGAGAATAGCCATGACATGGTTTTCAGTTTGTGGGGTTAATCACAGTGTTTGACCTGATTTTTGCCAGGGAGATACGTTTAGTGTGTCACATGAGTGTGTGAGATCCACATTGTGAAAGAGGTGGGAGGTTGCTAGGAAGGCAACATTGAACAGAAAATTTAGACTGGAAGGGAACAGTAGAAACTTGCTTAAACCTAAGCAGATGTGGTAAAAAATCATTTCTTCTGTCTGAGCATCAGACTTCCCGTGGAGCTCCATCTGGTGGAACCTGATGACCTGACAAGAGCCAATGACATCTTGTAGGCAATTTTACCATTTGTTTTCAGGCAGCCATGCTCCTCATCCACGTGTAGGCCTGTCTGAAAATTGGTGGATAGTCAGAATTAATGTGTCAGTAAATCAAATTGGTACAGCATGGAAACAAGTCAAGTGAGCTCAGACGTCAACTTTCCTGCTCCTCTGATGCTGCCTGGCCTACTGTGCTCCTCCAGTTCCACACTGTGTTATCTCTGACTCCAGCATCGGCAGTTCTTACTATCTCTGAGTGCAATATATAAACATATGATTGAGAGCTGTCATTAGCGATTCAGCTTCTTGAGCTTCTTTCGTCATTCAATAAGGTTATGGGTGATCTGATTGAACCTCTGGTAACCTTTCACTTTCTTGTTTAACAAGAATTTATCTACCGCCGCCTTACAAATATTCAAAGCTTCCACCACCTCTTCAAGGAGAGAATTCCAAAGAATCATGACCCATTGTGAGAAAATAACACTCCTTATCCCTGTCTTAAATGGGCAACCCCTTGTTTTCAAAGGTCTCAATTCTCCCATAAGACAAAATGTCACTCTCCACATACTCCCTATCAAGACCTCACAGGAAGCTTAAATGTTTCAGTGAAGTCACTTCTAACTCTTCTAAACTCCAGCATATATTAGCCTAGCCTGCCCACTATTTTCTCATAAGAGAACCTGCTCATTTCTTGTATAAATGTGGTAAATCTCTCTGAACTGCTTCCAATACAGTAACATCTTCTTTAAATAAGGAAACAAATACTGTGCACATTGCTCCAGATGCAATCTTGCTCGTATAGTGTGCAGCATAACCTCCATACTTTTAGGAACAAAAACAGAAGTTGCTGGAAGCTCAGCAGGTCTGGCAGCATGTGTGAAGAAAAAATCGGAGTTAACGTTTTAGGTCCGGTGACCTTTCCTCAGAACTGATGGTAGCTGGGAAAATGTTGGTTAATACACAGATAAATACTTTTAGATTCACTTCTCTTTGCAATAAATGATATTATTTGATTGATATTCCTAATTACCTATTATACTTGCATGCTACCCTTTTGTGATTCATGCATGAGGACACCCAGATCCCTCTGCATTCCTGAGCTACCGGAAAAGACTCCTATTGTGATTAGGCATTCGGTGGTGACTGGCTTTCACCCTGGTTTCCTAAAGCATCTGCACTAACCACATGCACCATAAGACCCAAATGTGATAGTGTACCATTTACAACTCCTCAGATACTGAAGCAGCCCATCTCCAAATGCAACAAGTCTTGGACAATATCTAGGCTTGGGCTGAAAAATGGCAAGTAATATTTGTGCCATACAATAATATTATCGAAATAAAGACAGTCTAGACACTACCCTTTGACAGTCAATGGTTTAACCCCCATTGATTTCCCCATTATCAACATCTGGGAGTTTGCATTATCTAGCAGATAAAATCCAAGATGAATTGTCGATTTGTTACAATCCTGATTACAATAATGTATGTTATGACTTAGCCAGGTGCCAGCGTCTTTAAAATTTAAAGCAGATAAGGAGCAAGATCGAAGCATTTGCTAAGAGAATGAAATGGCACAGTTCCAGGGTTTTGAACAAACAATAATAAACTTTACTGTACAAAGTTAGAACAATGTATCTGATATTTATAGAACATATTCAGAATTAACTTGAAGTAAATGGTGGACCTAACAAAATCTGCCGAATGAGCAAATTCCGTCATGGCAGACCACACGGATTCGTCAGCAAACCCTACAGTACCTGAATAGTAAGAACTGCCGATGCTGGAGTCAGAGATAACACAGTGTGGAGCTGGAGGGACACAGCAGGCCAGGCAGCATCAGAGGAACAGGAAATTTGATGTTTCGGGTCGGGACCCTTCAGCTTTCCTGCTCCTCTGATGCTGCGTGGACCACAGTACCTGGACATGTTCTGGTGGTTCATCTTCCTTTCCTGTGACTACACTGCTCTACATTCTTGACACTACACTCCAACACTTACTCTTTTGTTCGAGCCTAGTATTTCCAAAAACAGCCAGCTTCATTAAGCTAGTACTGTCCCCGTACTTTGTTTTCCTCAGCTCCAACCTTACTGAGTTGCACCAAACAATTATTGTTTGAGGGCTTTCAACTGCCACTCTTTACTAACTGAACTGTTAGCAGCACATAGCTTCTTCTGATCCCTCACTCTAACACCTAGCTCCCTATTGACTCCTAAAACTTCTCTGTGAGTTCAGACTGTACAGAACTATTTAACTGCTCTGGGACTTCTTGCTGAGCCCCAACCACACAGAATCAGTGTATCCATTTGTATTCTCAGCAATCCAGCTAATTATTTTGTTTCTTCAGGGGGCGTGCTTTTGTCTTCTAACTCTAACTGTGGAATTCGAATGAGTCTTCATGGCCATTGAACTGTTTTCAGTAACCTATGACAAATACAGCTACTCCATTGCAATGCAGGATTGAATGTAAATGACATATCTTGGAACATTAAGTTCCCTGAATGTTACATTGTTTATAGATTCCTGGCATACACTGTACAAATTGGATCCAAAGAAACAAAGATTCGACCACATCTCTTCCCTTGGAACAAAGAAAGCTTCACAATAGTGAAGGTTTTTTTTTACAATGGCTTTGAAAATACAACAGTACTTATTATCATAAACTTGCAGCAAATTGCTTACAGGTTTTACAGATAACCCTTTCATTTATACATTTGCCTATACCAAATTAACAAACTTCTAAAAACTTAAATGGAACTGTGCATATGTTACAAGTTGGATTAGCAAAATTTCAGTATCACAACATGAACATAGCTCAATGCCTGCATTCCTTTTCTTACACACTTCCTTCAACACTGGCCAGTGCATCAACAATTAAGTTGTCTTTCTGAATTATGAGTTATTTATTGTCATATGTGTTTAGAAAGTTACAGTGAAAAGTGTTTTGCTGCCGCAATCCAGTGCCGTCCTGAGTCACAAAAAGAATAAAAAGAAATGGCATAAATAGAGTTGACCTTCAGTACAGGAGGTCCCCAGAGCTTCTGCAAGGTCTCTGCAAGGTGTCCCAGGCCTCAAGGAGTCAACTCGCTTCAGGTCTACTGCAGCCAAGGGTCCCTGCTCCAGGCACCATCACCGCCGCAGCCGACGACCCACCAAGCACAGCTCCGGCTTCCTCATGACGTCAGACGGTGCAGAAAAGAAGAAAAAAAGAGAAAGAGAAAGACAATGAAGGAGAGAAAGAGAAGGATATGGCCAGCCTGGAGTGGACGGGCTCAGGAGCCTGAACACTACCTACTGAGTCGGCGCTGCCACCTGCAATATGCAGGTTTTGTTTTCTTTATTCATTCACAGGATGAGGGCATCACTGGCTAGGGCAACATTTATTGCCCATCCCTAATCGCCCAGAAGGCAGCTAAGAGTCAACCACATTGCTGTGGGTCTGGAGTCACACGTAGGCCAGACCAGGTAAGGATGGCAGTTTCCTTCCCTAAAGGACATTAGTGAACCAGATGGGTTTTTCCAACAATCAGCAATGGATTCTGGTCATCATTAGATTCTTAATTCCAGACATTCATTGAATTCAAATTCCACCATCTGCCATGGCGGGATTCGAGCCTGGGTCCCCAGAACATTAGAGATAGTAGGAACTGCAGATGCTGGAGAATCTGAGATAACAAGGTGTAGAGCTGGATGAACACAGCAGGCCAAGCAGCATCATAGGAGCAGGAAGGCTGACGTTTCGGGCCTAGACCTTTCATCAGAAATGGGGGAGGGGAAGGGGATTCTGAAATAAATAGGGGGAGGTGGATAGAAGATGGATAGAGGAGAAGATAGGTGGAGAGGAAACAGACAAGTCAAAG